CACGCACATCCCCTTCCCCGAGAAACCCCGATGCGCAGGGGAAGATGGATGGACCCGTTCCCGTTATCAGCCTCACAAAAAGCAACCGCTTCGCTGCAGAAATCGGTTAACTTCGGGACATGATAACCAGTGCTGCGGAAAGCCTTCCCACCTTGGGTCGGGCATTTCATGTGTCCACTGAGCATCTTTCCCGGGGATGCCAACCGAACACGCTGTTCCCTGCAGAACATTTTTAAAGCCCCCCAAAAATCGCTTATAATATTTAGCTAGGGACCGGTCGTGCAAAAGGGATCGTTTTACGAGGCGCTCTTCTGTTTTTTTCTAAGGAGGTGGGGAAGATGGTTAACCAATTTTCAGTGTCTTTTAACTCTCTGCGCCGATAACTGCAAAGCAAAGGGGGTCCCGAATCTGCGGCACCCCGCAGCGTGGCTCCAGAGCCTGCTGGTGCACTACAGGGTGGCCAGGGTCCACCAGTTAAGCGATACATCATTAGTTGGGAGTTTACTCATTAAAAAAAAAATAATAATAATAATAATAACGATGGAAAACAGTTTTTGCCGGGAGAGATTCCAAGGAAAGCCATCCCCACGTCGCCGCAAAAAGGGGAGCGGGGAGAGGGGAACCGCAGTTGTTTACAGCGGGGATTTTTCACGTTGTTTGTGAGCACGAGTCCCGAACCTCCCCCGCTTTGGGTTGGGGAAGCGGGGGGAAACGGTTAGATGTGGGATTTATTCCAGAAACAAGGTTTAAAAAATCAGAAGGTTGCCCTGGGACACGGGCGGTAGCTGTGCGGGCTGACCCCGGGCCGGGCAGGGGGGGGTCTCCCCGGGGCGGGCAGGCAAAGCCGGCTGCAACCCCTCCGACCCGGGCCGCGGGCCTTTGCCTTGGCCGGTGCAGCCCCCCCCGCCCCCCCCGCCGTGCGCGGCTGCAAGGCCGCTCTGCAGCCCAGCCCCTCTCCCTGCAGCAAAGGACCCGGGAAAACGGCCCACGGGTGGGTTGGGGTTTTTTTTTTTCCCCACAAAGGGATGCTCGGGGGCTCCCTCCAGCAAAAGCCGCTTTTCTAAGTGGCCGGTCCCGGGGCAGCGTGGGTGCTCCGTGGGCAGAGAGCAGAGGGACAAAGCCCCTCTGCTGCACCAGGGACCTTCTCGCACGCCGTGACCCGCCGGGGGCTTTCCTCCCCCGGCCAGGTACCTGCGCAGGTCGGTACCCCCCGGCGGGTCGCTGTCACGGCCCGGAGACGGTGCCAGGCTTTCCCCGCTCTCCCGGGCGAGCCCTGCCCTCGGCATCCTTCGCTGGCAGCCGCTGTTCTTGCCGCATCCCTCCCCAC